AAAGGCTAATTTTCCTAACACCTAGTTTCTATAAATCAATAAGAAATAAAGCCCAACAATTCAGTTTTTAAAACAAAGGAAATGAACAGATGACTCATAGAAAAGAAAATACTAATAGTTCTTAAACACATGGAAGGATACTTAACCATATAATAAGAGGTAATTTTACTAAGAGAAATTCAGATTAAAACTAACCCTCGATGTCATTTTTCACCCATCAAATTGGCAAATTTTAAAAAAATTTATTTCACCCATCTTATCAAGTAATTGACAATGAGACATTATAATACATTGGTAGGAGTGCAAATTGGTCCTCCCAAGGAGGTTAATTTGTCAATATTTATCAAATTGCAAAAGAGCAGAGGACCCAGAAATTCTTTTCTAGGAATTTATCCTACATATAATTGTATTATATATGTGTGAAATAGTATATGTGAAAGTCAATCACTAAGACATTTATAATAGAAAAAGATTGGAAATAAATGTCCATCAAAAGGAGACTGGTGAAATAATTATATATGGTTGTTAAAAAGAATATATGGTTCCCAGAACCGGTTTGGCTCAGTGGATAGAGTGTCGGCCTCCGGACTGAAAGGTCCCAGGTTTGATTCCGATCAAGGCATGTATGTACCTTGGTTGCGGGCACATCCCCAGTGGGGAGTGTGCAGGGAGGCAGCTGGCCGATGTTTCTCTCTCATCGATGTTTCTGACTTTCTGTCCCTCTCCCCTCCTCTCTGTAAAAAATCAATAAAAGATATTAAAAAAAAAAGAATATATGGTTGTTATGTACTTAGAAAAAAATACCTCCACGACATATTAAGAGATAAAAAAGCAGCTTTGAATGGTGTGCTTGGTGAGCTACTATGTGTGTGTGTGTGTGTGTATGTGTGTGTATGTGTGTGTGTTGGGAGGCAGGAGAAGGAATACTTGCTTGGGTTTAAACCATCTCTGGAAAGACACGTGAGAGCCTGGTAACATGAGCTGCTTCTAGGGAGTGAAACTGGGTGTTTGCAGGACAGCAGTAGAAAGGAGATTTTTCACTGTAAATATTTACATATATTTATATTTCTTACTTTTGAGCCATGTAAATCCATCGATATAATTTACCTTCTGGTCATTTAAACCCCATTAGGTGCCAGGTGTCAGGATGGGGCAGTGGAAGCCACTTCAGGATCGTTATTGGAAGAGCCAGGTTCTATTGTAGTTCTTGCTCTGGCACCAATTCACTGTTGGGCCAGCAGCGAGCAGCCTCTCCGCTCAGGGCTGACCCAAGAAAGGTCAGAGAAGCTGGTGTCCGAAGCCCTCTCTAGCTCTGACATCCCGAGATGTGAAGTGCAGTTTTTCCTCCTACATTTCTTAAGTCATCTCTCTACCTCCTCCTTTCCACTGCAGCTCATCCAAAGCTCAGAGGAAAGGACAAGCAATTGAAGAAAATAAAATTGCAAGAAGACTTTTATAGGGCTGCTGTTGAATCATTGTGTATTCCACTTCCAAAGCCGAAAATGATGAGTTTAATATCACACAGAGCAGTGCATCTTATATGTCTCAAAAGGCAGCTTATGCTACCTAGAAAACTGGGAGTGCGGCAAGGCGTAATGCTTCTCTCCAACTCTGAGGCAAATGAAATGACAGTCATCAGGCCCACATTCTAGAAGCAGCATGGTTTTCATTTGGTTTTAACTTCATTGGAAAGTGTCCCAAGGAGGGACAATCCTTCAAAGCCTGGATTTTCCTTTTTTCTCAGGAACACACTCTAGAAAAGGGACAGGCATGTGGCCAGGTTTTGACTTGGCTGTTTCCAGCACTGGCCACCGATGTTGATAAGTTAACTGTGCCAGGCATCCAGAAACTGGGTTGCAGTCCCAGTTATGCCATGAACTTGGGCAAGTCCACTCCCCATTGGGGGCCTCTGATACTCTGAGGAAGGATCAATAGCCATGACTTGAACTGATGTATAGGAAGACAAAATTGGATTTTAGCGACATGGAAGATCTAAGGAGCTAAAAAGTCCTCACTCAAGGAGACGGAGTGCCTGGCGGGCGTTCTCTAGCAGAAAGGAGATAAAACTCCGACTGTGCTGGGCCCCCGACTGCTCTGAATCCCAGTACTAGCCCAGACCCTGGGGACCCAGGCTCATCCATACGGAGCTGGGCTGTAAGGCGGGACTCCGGGGAAGAGGCGAAAGGAGGTCCGGGAGGCGTGCACACTGCGCGCAGAGAAGGGACGGTCCGCTGTGCCGCGAGATTGCCCTGACAAGAAGGAGACTGGGGCTCCAGACTGCTCTGAACGCCACCTCCAACTCCACTTCCAACTGAACTGAACCCCAATACCAGGCTCATTGGGGGAGAGCATAGACTGTTTGGCAGCAGGCGAAAATCAAGGGCACCTTTCTCTTAGAGGCGCTGGCAGGGAGCACTGAAGGACCCACATAGGGCGGGGCTGACGGAAGCCAAAGCTGCAGGCTCCACCCTGAAACCTCCTCCCATCTGTAACTGTGAAATGCAACAGCAAAATAGATCACAAACGAAAGAAATGGAGGACAAAAAGCGTCTGGATATAGAGTTCAAATCTACGCTTATAAGGTTTTTCAAGAATTTCCTAGAAAAGATGGATAAGACCTATGAGGATATGAAAAGAGATCAACTAGAATTAATAAGGAGTCATCAAGAAATGATAAGGGATCAACAAGAAATAAAGAATACATTGTCTGAAATAAAACATAATTTACAGAGTCCTAAAAACAGAAGGGAAGATCACAAGAATCAAGTCAAAGATTTGGAACATAAAGAGCCAGAAGACACTCCTCCACAGAAGCTAGAAGGCAAGAGAATCCAGAAAATTGAAAATAATGTAAGAAACCTCTGGGACAACTTCAAGCGAACCAACATCAGAATTATGAGGGTCCCAGAAGATGAGAGAGAGCAAGATATCGAAAACATACTGAAAGAAATAGTGACAGAAAACTTCCCCCACCTGGTGAAAGAATTAGACTTACAAGTCCAGGAAGCGCACAGAACTCCAAACAAAAGGAATCCAAAGAGGACCACACCAAGACACCTCATAATTAAAATTCCAAGAGCAGCCGAGACCAGTTTGGCTCAATGGATAGAGCGTCGGCTTGGGGACTGAAGGGACCCGGGTTCGATTCTGGTCAAGGGCATGTACCTTGGTTGCGGGCATATCCCCAGTAGGGGGTGTGCAAGAGGCAGCTGATCGATGACTCTCTCTCATCGATGTTTCTGGCTTTCTATCTCTCTCCCTTCCTCTCTGTACAAAATCAATAAAATATATTAAAAAAAATAAAATAAAATAAAATTCCAAGAGCAAAAGACAAAGAGAGAATATTAAAAGAAGCAAGAAGGTAGTTACCTATAAAGGAGCACCTATACGATTGTCAGCTGACTTCTCAACAGAAACCATGCAGACCAGAAGGGAATGGCAAGAAATATTCAAGGTGATGAATAGTAAGAACCTACAGCCAAAGATAATCTATCCAGCAAAGCTATCACTCAGAATCGAAGGTCAGATAAGAGCTTCACTAATAAAAAAAAGCTAAAGGAGTTCATCACCACCAAACCAGAATTATATGAATTGCTGAAGGGGGTTCTTTCAGAAGAGAAAGTAAACAAAGATAAAAATTATGAACAACAAATACGTAACTATCAACAAGTGAATCTAAAAACCAAGGAAATTTTTTTAAAAATCTGATGAACAATAGTAACCGTTGAATATAATAGAATCAGAGGTATGGAAGGGGAGTGAACTGATGATTCTTGGGGAAAAGGGGAGAGGGGGGCGTGGGAAGAGACTGAACATAAACTGTGCACCTATGGATGAGGACAATGGGGAGTGGGGAAAGGGCAGAGGGTGGGGTGGGAACCTGGTGGAGGAGAGCAATGGTGGGGGGAAAAAAGGAACATTTGTAGTAATATGAACAATAAAAACTTATTGTTCTAAAATAAATAAATAAATAAATAAATAAATAAATAAATAAAATATTGTTAAAAAATAAATAAAAAATAAAAAGTCCTCACTCAGTTCCTGCCAGCTCATTATGATGTCTGGAGTCTTCTCTCTGGGGTTGCTTGCTGAGTTGTTCTGCACACAGATGCTGAGCAGCCTTCATGCACAGGCACGGGGCTCTTTACAGACAACCCCTACCTCCAGGGAGCTCATAGAGGGAATGGCAACAAACCACATCAACCCAGGAAGTGCCTTAAACATGTGTAAGTAGAGAGCAGAGAAAGGCTAGTCACAGGGTGTGTGTTTTCCATGCATATACTATATATATACTATTGGGGAGTAGGTGTGGCATCATGAAATGAGTTTAAATAAAATACTTAACTAAGAGGTCATAGGTGAAGTTCCAAGGATGGTGCCTGGCATGCATTAAATATGTAGTAAATGATAGTAATCATTATTGTGATGTTTGATTCTCACTGTGACTCTCTGAGGTTGGAATTAAAACAATCATTTTTCAAATAAGGAAGTGGAGGCTCAAAGTAGGACAATGTTTTACTCCAGCTAGAAATGGCCAGTCAGGGCAAAACCATAAGCAGGCCTAATGTAAACATTAATTATGATACCTCGAAGTATTTCTAATTAATCAGAGAAACAAATTCTGCTACTGCATTTAGTCTTGAGTGTATTAACAAAAACTTCACTCCTTTTGGAGAATTTTGAAGAGGTAGCACTCTCAGAACCAAGGGCAGGTGGTATCATATGTGAGCAGAAATTAATTTTCACAGTCTCAGCCCCTCCAATCATATTGCACATGGTTGCTAAATGGGCTGACAGGTAGGGCCAGCTTGAAAGAAAGTATGCATTCATGTATGTGCATGTGTGCATTTGTATGGTATATGTTATGCATAATACATGTATGTGCATGAGAATGTACATGTGTGTTATGTGCATGTGTGTGGTGTGTGTGTGGTGTCTGGTTCCTTTAAAGTGTGCTCTGTGACCCCAGACTTCTTATCTGTTATCCTCTCTTTCAACAGAAGACAAGCCTGGAGTTCTATATCGACATCCATGCCCACTCTACCATGATGAATGGCTTCATGTACGGCAATGTCTTCGAGGATGAGGAGCGCTTCCAGAGGCAGGCCATCTTCCCCAAGCTGCTCTGCCAGAACGCTGAGGACTTCTCCTATGTAAGCCAGGGCTCTCTCCTGCCAGGCCCAGACTCCCCCCCCCCCCCCCCCCCCCGACCTCCCTGTCTGTCTCTCCCTCAGAGCAGTTTGGTTTAACATGCACAGAACACCAACCCTGTACCAGGTTGTGGGTAAATAATAAAGACAGAGGTAACAAGCCATGCCTGCCCTCAGACTGCTCCTCACCAGTGGGGAGGGAGACTCTGAAGTGGCAGCAAGCACTTGGTTTATCTGAGGAGCTGGCATTTGTGTAGTTGATCTGACTCCAGCATTAAGACAAGAAACTCACTGAGCAACTGAGCACCCAGCACATGCCAGACCTGCCCCAAGTTGGCTTTTACCTGCCCCAGTTCCATTAGTAGGAGCCTGTCATGTCTGCAGAAGGGGTTATACATGTACCATTTTCTTCCTTCATGATGCCTTCTGTGCCTCAGTTTCTTTGTCAGTAATTTGTGGGTGACAATTTCCTGCCCTGTCTACATCATGGCTTCCTGGGATGACAAATACAGCAATAGACTCTGCAGGCAGAAAAGACCTCAGCAGGCCCCAGGAGCATGTTACTACCCACCTCACAGGCTGAGGAGGCCTGAGAGACTATAGGCCGGTGGTTAGAATAATTTGCAGCAAAAGCAATATTGGAAAAGGACCGGGAGAAGATAAGGAGGGGAGTTAGCATGTGGCGGGTGGACAAGGGAGATAGTTTGTGCATTTTCCTTTGTTTTGATACCAAATCTCTGAGGCCTGTTTTTCCCATGTGGAAAGAGGTGGGGAGGTGGGGGGGGGGGGCATGGTACAAAGGTGAGAGCAAGTTTTGAGGTTGATGAACACTGGCCTTGCCTTTGCTTCAGGCCTGGACACCGGTGGAGATGATAAATTTCTCCAGGAGGTAAGATGCACTTGGAATCTCAGAATCTTTGACTGCCAGACCACAAGGGGATGGGGGAGATTACTTAGCCCAGCGAGGTTGGGTATATATAGCAAAGTCCCTCAGGTTTGGTGGTATAATCCAAGCAGGTGCTCCCAATTTGCAGGTCTGGGATAACAGTAGCCATTCTCATTTGTGTGGGAATCTCTATAGGATGGCCAGCTCTTGTCTTTTTGAAACCACTTCAATTCCAGAGCCGACTGTGGTCTCCTGGATCAGAAACCTTCACATGGGTAAGGTTTCCAGGGCCAACATTCTTAATTTTTAAAGAAACCTCCATGTTTTTGTCCATAGGAGCTGCACTAATTTACAGTTCCAAGGCGGTTATTTTTGAAGCCTAAATGAGATACTGCTGAAGAGGAAACAATAGGATTAGGTTGAAGTCACTGCCCAAATTTTATTTTATTTTTATTTTTCATTTTTTTATTAAATTATTATCTGTGTACATCTTTTAACATTGCCCCCCCCATACATACCTTCCCTCCCCATAGTTTTGTGTCCATTGGTTGTACTTATATGCATGTATACAAGTCCTTTGCAGATCTCCCTACCCTCCCCGCTGTAATTTGACAGTCTGCTTGTTGCTTTACTGTTTCTATATCTATCTTTTAGTTCATCAGTTTATAATGATCTTTATTATCCATAAATGAGTGAGGTCATGTGGTATTTCTCTTTCATTGACTGGCTTATTTCACTCAGCATGATGTTCTCCAATTCCATCCAGGTTGCTGCAAATGATGAGAATTCCTTCTTTTTTATGCTGCCCAAATTTTAATTCTGATTTTCATCATAGTACAACTGCTTTTTTTAAGTTTTATTTTATTGTTTAAAGTATTACATATAGTATTACATATTGCTTCTTATTCTCTGCCACATTCCTTTGCTCCATCTGTTCCCCATTCAGATTTTCACAAATACAGGGATGGGCAAAAGCAGTGTTTCCCACATGCATGACTGGAAACCTACTTTTGCCCACCCCTGTATTTGTTTAATGGCAGTTACTGTGCCCCAGGAGCTCTGCTGGATGCTTTCACTTTAATGCTTTCAGTTTAGTTAATCAGTCATCCTAATAATCCTGTGATGTGGGACTAATATCCCATTTTTCAGATGAGGAAGTTGAGGCCCAGGGTAGTGTGCTCACAGTCTGGTAGCCCAGGCGCCCTGCCCTGACTCTGCTCCTCCTTGTCTCTCACAGTCCAGCACATCCTTCAACCGGGACGCCGTGAAGGCAGGCACTGGCCGCCGCTTCCTCGGTGGGCTCCTGGACCACACTTCCTCTTGCTACACCCTGGAGGTCTCCTTCTACAGCTACATCAGCGGGGGCACCACAGCCGCGGTGCCCTACACTGAGGAAGCCTGTATCCTTGGCAGGTCCCCACGCTGCCCTGGGCCAGCCCACAGCTAGGCCTGGTGGGATTTACTAGACAGGTCAGGAATTTGGTCTCCAGTGCAGGTGAGGACTGCGGCTCCGGGTGAGGATGGAGATGGCTGGCTCCGCTGGTGGCATCTTTGCATTGTCCTGTTTCCCCCTCGCCCTCTAATGATGCCCTCTCCCAGCTGCCTCTGCTATGCCTTAAGTCTTGGCCAGGCACCTGGACCCATGGCCTCCCTCTACTTTAATGCTGTGCCCCCCGCCCCCTTTCTTCCTCTCAGCTCTCTCATGAGAGAGAGTCTTCTGCCATCTAAGGAGTGTGAGCACACAGGCCGGAGGACCAGCCCCCGGGCTGCTGAGGAAGACCCTGATGGTCTTCACTCCTCTTTCTAACCCTGAACATTTAAAATTATGTTTTTCTTTTTTATCTTCCATCTTTTTATTCTCTTGCTTTCTTTTCTTTCTGCCCACTATTTTTCCTTTTACATATAGCCCATTACCTTATCCCCTTTCCTTCTATCTCTCCATTCCCTCCTGTTTTGTGTGTTTCTTTCCCTAATTCTCATGACCCCTTCCTCTGTATTCCCTCTTATTCCCATCCTCCTTTCCTCTCTTGCTCTTCACTTTGCCTCCCTTCCGCCTTTCCTCCCTTCCCTGTCATCCTCTGCACATCTTGCTCTTTGCGTTTCCTCTGCCAAATCGCCTTTCCTCATACAGTTTATCCGAAAACCCCCGAGCATGTCATGATGAAATTGGAGGTTACTTCCTAGCTTGCTTAAATTTTTAGGTGTTATTGAGTTAATCTAATTTCCTGAGTGTTAATTTTAATTTCAAGGTCACAGGATGAGGGTTGTGACAGATTGTGACAATGTCTATTTTTCTTTATCCTTTTGTTTTTGGATTGACCCATTTCTCCTTTCCTATGTTTTCTTAGAGAAAGAATTATAGTTGAAAGAGGAGAAAGGAAAGGAAATAAATTAACCGTGTATATATTCAAATTCTCCTTCAAAAGTGGAGGTGCTCTTTTAGCCTTTATTCAACCCATGGTGTTTATGGATTTTCTACCATACTCTAGGCAGGAAAACATCCTTTCTATGTGTGATATAATTTAGGACTAGTCGGTTGCAGCCTAGAGGCTCTGGAGGGGGGAAAGAGGAGGTGTCCAATTCCCTAGCTGGGATCACGGGAGGCAAGGTGACAACCCAGATGGAGGGGTGAGCAGCAGGTTAGCTGGGTGTTTGAGAAATGTTCCAGACCCACAGAGCACTGGAGAGATGGTAAGCAAACCAAGGGTCCCTCCCTTCAGTCACCCAGGCTGAGACAGTCATCTTGAAGTCAGCTTTCATAACTTTAACCTCGGCCTAGCTAAGGAACAGGCAGAGGACTCTTGGTTTCTAAAGTCCTGGCCATCTATCATGTACCACACTGCCCACTTCCCACCTCAAAACACATGCCCTTGATCGTGTATGTCCCATGCTCTTTCTATGATCTCCCAACTCCTGTGACACATGCATAGGTCACATTCCACATTGTGGCAAAGAAGGTACAGAGAGTTGCCTGGTAGATTTTGAGCTTGTGCACCAAAGGAGATCGCGCAACCCCAGTTCATAGTGAGGTGTGAGTTTGTGCACAGGAGCCTGCCCTCAGTTTGTGGTTGGTGCCTGAGGTGGAATTCCTTTCTCGGCTCCTCTGACATGCTTTTGTGTTGAAAGTAAACATATTTCTCAGTAGAGTGCCTTCCCCCTGAGCCTAGGCCACAGTTTCCTCCCCTCAGTGCCCAGTCCTTGTTCATCACACGTAATACCACCAGGACATGCAGGAATCAGACCAGAGGCCCAGCCTAAAATGCTGACCAAGAAGACATAGTTCCTGGCTCAGAGCTTTCACTCTCCTTGGGGAGACAGAAGAGGAAAGAGGCAACTATAATATATATGATGAGTTCTGTGGGAAAGGATTCCAGAGAGCCGTGGAAAACTTTCACTTAGTAAATTTGTGTTGAGTGTCCACCACAAGCAAGGTAAGTTCTAGGCATAGGGGATGTAACAGTGAACATACTAAAAACAAAAATGTCTTTACAGGACTTCCGAAACAGTTTTGGAAGGTCATGGAAGGCTTCCCAGTGCAAGTGACATCCAAGCTGAGTTTTTAAGACTGCGTAGAAATTATCCAGATTGGCTGGGGGTGGGTTGTTAGAGGAAGGACACTGCAGATGGAGGGGGGGGGGGGGGGAGAGGATGTCTGCAGGAGCTGTGCATGGCTCAGTGTGGCTGCAGGACTTTAGATGCAAGAGGAGAGACTGAAGGAGAAGCTGTAAGGAATTGAACTTGAACATGTAGGTAATGAGAGCAATAGGAGGGTTTTAAATTGTGGTGGAAGCCACTCTGGCTACAGTGGGAAGGACAAAATGGAGGGGCCAAGTCTGAAGTTGGAGACACACATTAGGAGGTTGCTTTGAATTCTGTTGTTTATGTTGAAGACATAGTCAGGGCTGTTAGAGCAAGAGGCCTGGCTGTGCTGGGAGGGCTCCATGGGCAAAGGGCCTTGGAGGAATCACCACAGTTAAGGGCCTTGACCTCAGAACGCCACACAGTGTGTGGGGGTGCAGTTCCTATGGTTTGTTTTTTGTGTCTATCATCCAGAGCACCTTCTACCCAGTATCAGGTATAGGTTCCCCAGAGGGAGCTAGGCACATGTAAGATCAGAGAAAGATCGAAGGGAGGGAATCCTGAGGGGTCTTGCACCCGGGCTGACAATAGTGCTCACCTTCCCACCCACCAGAACACATGTGTCTGTCATTCTAGTTTTTCTCCCTGGAAAAGCGCCAGCTAAACATGACCAGGGCCTTCCTCCCTAGTGCAATTATTTAACCACTCTGTCTGCCTCCCATTCACCTTGGAAATCTGAGCCCTGGTTCTCTTTCTGCAGAAAGCCTTTCTTCCCTCTCCCTCCCCTCAGCTTCTTGATCTGTAAAGGGAGAATAGAGATGTTTTATGTCACAGGCTGCTTTGATGGTTACAAGGGAGAATGCAGATGAATCACTGGGCACATAGTCGGGTGCCATTGAATATTAGTTCCCCTGCCCTTCCTCCCTGTTGCATGTTGTTTTTGTTGTTAAATAATAAATTCCTGAGAACTTTGGACCATTCTCCAGCAAATTATATTTATATTTTCCTGTCCTGCAAGTAATAAATTGCTCTGTTCAAATGATTTGAGAGGCAGGTGAAGGTGGGGAGAGAGAGAGAGAGAGAGAGAGAGAGAGAGAGAGAGAGAGAGAGAGAGAGAGAGAGAGAGAGAGAGAGATATGCTAAGCTGGAATCATAAAATAACCCACAGCTTCTGTGGCCTTAGTTTATGGTCTGGTCACAGCCAAAGGAAATAGCTCTTTGACAAAATGGATGCGAAAAACATTGTGAAGAGAGACCTTTGGGCCTGAGCAGACTCATTTCCACAGTCTTATAGCTGGGACACCTTAATCAGAGAGTGCTGGCTCTAGGTGAAGGTAATGATGGGTGTGGCCAAGGGAAGATGCAGAGATCTAGGACTCAGGCTGTTGGCTTGGTCTCAATTCAAAGCCTACTATATGCTTTGCACTGGGTCCTCTGAAACACACACCAGTCATTGATGATGTCATTTATGTTATTCGTCGATCCAACAGAACTCAGCAGACACCACCAAGTTTCATCCTCAGTCCCTGGTGATGTTATGGTCACCTCTGTTGGAGCACTACATCCTTCCAGTGGCCCTCTTGTCTGAACATGAGCTAAAGATTTCATAATTGGTTCCCTGGTTTCCTTTCCTTTTCCAAGTCCTGCATGGTCACTTTAAAATGTGGTATCTGGCCCTGGCCAGGTAACTCAGGATGTAAGAGCATCATCCCATTATGCCAAGGTTGTGGGTTCAATCCCTGGTCAGAGCACATATAAGAATTAACCAATGCATGCATAAATAGGTAGAAAAACAAATGATGTCTCTCTCTCCCTTCCTCTGTCTTCCTCTCTCTCTCTCTCTCTCTCTCTCTCTCTCTCTCTCTCTCTCTCTCTCTCAAATCAATAAATTACAATTAAAAATAAATAAAAATAAAATTTTAAAGTGTGGTATCTATAGATTCAGGATCTCAGCTAAATTTTCATTTTAATAATGTGTCCCAATATCTAACAAATAAGATTGAGCATTATTGGTGATTATTTAGGCATGGGATAAAAAAAAGAAATCAAGGAAGATGCCAAGCTTTCTTAATTTGAACAATACAGTGGAACCAATAACTTACATACAGACTGTTGGAGAAAGGGGTTGAGGAGGGGGCTGTTTTGAGCTTTGTTTGGGATGTGTTGAATGCAGGGTAATCATGTCAAGTACAAATAGAGAAGTTTGGCAGGGAGATGGCTTTATGGCGTGAAGTTCTGGAGAGAGCCTAGACTTTGGATAGGCTTATACTAGATTTTTCTACCATCTACTATAGAGTCCTAACAAGGAAAGTGGTTTGGTATGTGCAGTCCAGGTGGGCTTCCCCTGATGAGCTGGTTCAAAGAACGCCCCTTGTCCCCATCATAAAGCTGTGTGACCTTGGTTAAATAACTTCACCTCTCTGGTTAAAGCTTGATACTTGGTAGGCCTCAGTGAATGCCAATGAATGAATGGAAAAAAAGAAGGAAAGAAGGAAGGAAGAAAGGTAGGAAGGAACGGAGGAAGGAAGGAAGGAAGGAAGGAAGGAAGGAAGGAAGGAAGGAAGGAAGGAAGGAAGGAATGGAGAAAGGAAGGAAGGAAGGAAGGAAGGAAGGAAGGAAGGAAGGAAGGAAGGAAGGAAGGAAGGAAGGAAAGCAGGTCTCACCAGCATTTGCTAATTGGCTCACTAATAGGACAATGAGTGATGTGATCTGTGTTGCTCAGGGGAATTATCAGCATATATGTGTACATTGGGCGATTGGGAAGGTGTAAGGGTTACTGCCTGGATTTTTTTCTTGGGGAGGAGGCTTCACTTTTTAAGCA